CTACAAGAAAAACCTTTGGGGCGCGTCAAAGCACCGGGTAAGAGCCCGCCCCCCACCGGCTTTTTTGTCCATAAGGGCTGGCTCTTGTCATTCCTCTCCCGCCCCTCAAGGCTTCTTGTCTTGTGCCCTGCCCTCCCTCTCTCAACGCCAGAATGGAATTGTTTCTTCTTCCGCAAGCCGGTGGCGGGTCATCGGCCTCCCGCAGCAGCGGGGTAAAAGTATCCAAGCATTATCCCTTGGGGTTGGAGAACAACAAAGAATCCAGTCAACAACAAGGGTCAGGCTAAAGCCAGCATCCATCAGGCCGCTTCGGAACGCGCCCTGGCATGATGCAGCTCGTTGCCCATACGTCCAAAACTCCTGTTCGATGTGGTGGCTGACGGCTTCGTTGTTTTCGGAGAGTTAGTTTCTCTCGACGCCACAACATCAACAGGGTCTTTCTTGATTCGGATAGCTGCCGGCGACCAAGCCGGCGGAACGAGGTATGAGACATTGTGTATCCCAAGCATCGGAAACACACACACTCGCATCGATCTCATCGCAGCTGAATGATGCTGCCTTCTGCTCTTTTTTTTCAATCCCTACTGGCGCCGGCAATTGGATGATGGCTCCGGGTACCGCACCTTAGAATGAGGACTCAGCCCGAGAAATGGGAGTCAAGGGTTGGCTGCGATTGCTGCGTATGTTGCACCATCACCGCAGCCATTCCCCTTTTTCTTGTCTTCGTATTGTTAGTGGATGCTGGGCCATGCTGGACCGCTGCAGGGTGTTCGATTGCCTTCACAACTGGAACACAGAGAAATGGAGCTATCGGCCGCCGCATCGATCTCTTCATGCGCGTAATATCACTCACCAAGGCGCGATCTCTCGTCTGCGACGGTATCAACTAATAGCACTAGAGGGCCTCCATGGAAGTGGAACGGGAAACGCACCCACCCAGCCAGAATGAAGAGATTAATTAGTGTGACGACGTGAACGCCTTGATCCACCGGAAAGAGCCTACCGATGGCGCCGGGAAGGTGCGACCGAACTCATTACTCATGAGACGGTGGCTTCCTTTCCGCTCCTACCTCATGCTGTTATCAAGATCCACTTTCCACCGGAATTTGTCTTTCGATCGATGGGTTTCGGCTAACACTCTCCGGCCATGCGTGGCTTTTAGGTTGCGGCTCGGCCGTTGGGGTTTGCGCCGTGGCCTATTTTAGTTCTCATTTCACCTATTTTTCTTTTCTTTCCCAGCACCACGGGCCGTTGTCTCGCAGCCTCCGATCTTTCCATAGGTTGCTCGGCTTTGGCTTCACGGCCTTGCCCGCAGAGCTCTCGCCTGGGCAGCAGCTCGCTTCCCATCTCGCGGGGAACGCCCACCCCAGGCTCACCAGCGGCACACCCCGGACGGCCGGTCTGGGACCCCTTGTCTTCGAGGGTCGTCTCGAGGCCGGATGGGCTGCGGCCTGTCCAAGCAGGGGTTGGATGTCCTCTTCGGGACCCCGGTCGGTACCTGGCAAGCTGGGATATCGCAGGTGGGGCCCTGCGTGCAAGTGCCATCTCAAGTCCGTGCGGCAGCAGTTTGGCCGCAAAGGGAGGAGGACACAACCAGATTTCGATGGGGGTCCCACCCGACTGAGGGGGAAAGAGCAACCCCCCCTGATGAAGCAGTTGCCCATCGGGCATCGGCCCATCGACTGAGCAGCCTTTTGGGAGGAAGGGAATTGAGACAGGGACACAGGAGAGGGTGTTGCGTCCCGCATGTCTCGCTCGCATTTGCCCGGCGTTGAACAACGGCAATGGCTTTCTGGGTTGCTCTTTCTTGCCTGAGCTGCGTGTCCTGTGGAAGGGACGACCTAGCCCAAATCCCTCCCCTTCTGGGATTTCTAGGGTTGTGCTCTTTCCCGCTCGTCCCAGTGCGGTATGTCTCCTTTCCTCACCACCCACATCAGCTAGCCATCGCCCGCCGCCGGCAAGCCGTCCCGTTCCCGTTCCCCAATTCATCCAAAAACACCGCGTTTTGAGCTTGCCCCTGGAGCGGGAAGGGAAGTTATATTCCCTCTGTGTTATGCCAAGCCAAGAAACGTTTATGTCCTTCCCGAACTCCTACGGCTCAAGTGACCCCGTGACGAGGAGATCGAGTGGAGGTGAAGTGTTCGAGAGCAGGCCGAAACTCTTAATTCTACGGTTCAGTACTGAACAGACAATTTTCAAAGGAACTCGTTAGCTGCATCTTTGGGGCTGCAGGGAATGGTAACCGTTTCCTTCCGCATGTTCCTGGCTGTCTTTTTGCCGATCATGGCTGCTGGTAGGTTGCTGTTTCGAGAAAAGGCTCGGATAAAATGAGAAAATAGAGAAAAGAGAAAAAGACGGGGCCGGTGGAGGGGGGGTGGGTGTTCACACTCCCCCCAGTCCGCCGAGTCGAGCGGCCTCGTTGATAGATTCTACACCTCCAGACCACTAACTAGTTCACCACGGCCAGTTGATTGCCTGCAATATGTTACAGCGCAACGTGGACGTGCTTCTTCAAAGAATAATTCTCAACACAACGTTCTCCCATACTGTTGCGGCTTAAAGCAGCGCCTTACCTTTTCGAGCAGGACACTTGTTGCCGAAGATTAGTTTGCAAAACTACGTAGTCTACCAACGCTGGTCGCCCTCGTGAGCACCTAGCGCGGCTGAGATCCTACACTCAGACGAGGAACATACAGGGACGCTGGAATCGTGTGACTCCCGCATAATTCGCCTCCCTACTCCCCGTCTTCCTACGACGTGCCCAGGCACAAAAGCTTTCCAGCGAGAACAAGGTTCAACTTCTTAAATCCAATATAAGTACCTTCTTTTGCGCCGGTGTTGCTCTACGAGGTCAGCCGCTCAGCCCCAAAGAGGACATCATCTCAGAACACAGAGCCACCACCGCAGCTCGAGGAAGCCCCCGGTAGATAGTCATTGACAACAACACTGGTTTGGAAGGAGAGTTACTCTCAACAAACTTACTAGGAGTGTGCTCGGGGCACCTCGTTCTTTGCCCACCGCCGCGATCCACCCAAGGTTGCAATACTTGTAGGAGAACACCACAGCCTGCAAAACGGGAGCCCAGACCGCACCGCATCATCTGCAACTCGATTCACCTGGTTCCATTGCCGCATCCCGTATCAGTCTCTTCCCTCTTCTCCACACCGCACCTGGCGACTAGCCGAGCGAGGATCACGACACCGAAGTTGCGCTGTGCCGCTTCGTCCATCTAGTACTGTGTACTCGGTAGCTTCATTGGAGTCGCAGGGTTCTCATATCCCTGCGCCCACGAGAAACAGCAAGCGACAACCATCATTGGCGTTGTCCGGTTCGCCGTGGTCGCTCGATCATATCGGCGGGTGGGCGGGATCGCAACCGCCCCTTCTCCTCCGCTCTTCGTTTGATCCAACGCTTGCACTTAAGACGTGAAGGTGTTGTTGGTCTTCCGTGAGCCTCGATATCCAGGAGCCATTCGCCACAGCACCGGGCCGAGAACGTTGACCACCAGCTTCTCCCCGCTGTCTCGGCCAATATCGGGTTCTCTGCTTCCGCAAGAAGCAACGGCTAGGCCTTCCAAGTTCCGACCGGAATCAAGGTCATCCTTTACTGCTTGGGTTCGACTGCAACTGCAGGAACCCGGCAGTTCATGATTGTTGGCAGGTCCAAGCCCAGTCTGCACGAGGTTGCCCTTTCTCGTTCCTTCCTTCTTGGACTGGCAGAAGGTATCAGCGCAAAGCCCTGGGCGGGCCGCGACATCCATCCCACTTGAAGCCAACCGACGAACGAAGGAAAGCTCCGAAAGTTGGAGAAACGCACACGCCTTGTTGACGAACTTCAAGCCGGCTTTTTGCACCCCTTCTCGCCATCTCGTTCGGCAATCAACGACGGTGTGTCCTTGTCGAGGGACGTGCAAATCCCTACCCCCTCTTTCCCTCCCGGGCACTTGCAACGAACTGCGTCGAGGCACGGGCAGCAGAGTTCAAAGCAAACCCCTCGCGTCGAGGATCTGCGGAGTGGAGGGTGTGCGTCCCGCTCGTGGCACACCCCCCGTCTGAAACGCCCGGACTCGACGTCTGGACTTCCAGCCCTCCGGACTAAAAAATTTAGCCCCGCGACCTCGACTCCTGCAGCACTAGCGCGACGCCGGGGCCACAGAAGGTACGAAGTGACTTGCTTGCATCTTCTGGCTCGGCCCTTGGCCGTGCCCTTGCTTCCGTTGCCGTCATTCTAGTCTCACCCCATCCCGGTCAAGGCTCGTGGTCCCAAGTTCCCTGTCAGTCTTTGAGCATCACCTCGTCTGAATCCTTAAGACCGGGACTCCCGCCCACCTTTTCGTCACTATTCGTCGCGAACAGCCTCGTGTTTTGTCACTTTTGTTTATACGCGCCAGTACAGTTCATCCACGCTGATTGCTGGTGATAACGGTATCCATAATCAATAGGACATACTTTTTTCGGACCCCTTTACCCACAACACACCAAATACGTCGCCGTGTGTCGGGTTGCTTTCGACATCTCGATTTTGCTGACGTCGGAAGACTTTGCACACATAAAAGAGGCCCTCGCGCCCATCCTTCGACTTCAGTTTCGAGCCAAGATTGGTTTCCCCCGGCGCTTCAGAGGAACGACACCGGCAACCTTGATAATCTGGTCGCATTAAAAAAGATTACGCTCGGGCATGCCCTCCGAACCAGGGTATTGTCTGCTCACGAACGGTTTTTCCCCCACGGACTGGCGAAGCTCACGGCCCTGTCCAAGTTCGCCGGGGTAAACGGTCGTTCGCCGTATACTGAGGCGAATATCGCCGCTTGGTCCCCCCTGCTTCGCCAGCTCACCAGCTCGCCAGCCTTTCAAGCTCTATCCCCACACGCCCCGCGCTCTCCAAAGGCGAACTAGCGAGACTGTTGTTATTAAATAAGAAGGTGGTCTCAAGCCGCCCTCGAGCCGCCCTCGTGCGCGAGGAAACTTAACAAGGTCAACTCGCCCACAAACCATAACAGAATGGAAGTTATGGAAATACTCGACAACGAACCGACCGCTGCCCGCGCCTTTCAGTGCGACTGGGACGGCTGTTCCAAAGTGCGTATTTTCGTCCCATCGAGGCAATCCGCCACCGTGACGCAGCTAGTGAGCTGACCCATCACCTGCTAGGGCTTCAACCGAAAGTCTGATTTGCAAAGACATTACCGGATACACACCAACGAGCGACCGTATAAGTGCACTTTCGAGGCATGCGGAAAGAGCTTCATCCAGAGGAGTGCCTTGACTGTCCATACCCGCACCCACACTGGTGAAAAGCCGCACCACTGCCACCACGAAGGATGTGGGAAGCAATTCTCAGATGTACGGCCTTGCCTTTGGAACAACCTCCCTACTTCCCAGACTTTCAGTTGCTGACTTCAACACTAGTCCTCCAGCCTGGCGAGGCATCGCCGGATTCACACAGGGAAGCGCCCCTACATGTGCAATCACCATGGATGCTCCAAGAGGTACGTTCATGCACTTGCTCTACTGAAGCTCAAGCCTGGCACTAACCGCGGCACACCGCCTCTCGAACAGCTTCTGTCGTAAAACCACGATGGTCAAGCACTACAAGCGAACACACCAACGAGGCTATCATTCCACGGGGTCCGACTCCGACGGCGGAAGTGAGAGCGCGCCCCCCACGCCCGAGAGTCCTAACGCCATGCCGTGGCAGCCACACCCGCCACCCATCATGGGCCATCACGCAGGCCACCAAGCTCAACGGGCGGCTGCGTTTGCCAACCTTGGCCAGCAAATGGGTGCCTATGACATGACGCAGCAGTACAACGGCCACCGACCCAGCATCTCGTCTAACGGGGGGGGCGAGTACAACGGGCCTGCCGGTCTTGGCCAAACGCAGCTCCATGCCCAGCAACACCCGGGGATGCAGATGCTGCAGCGGACAGGAAATATTCCGCACCATAATTACTTCATTACGGAAGAGAATAACCCGGCGGTTGCCACGATGAACGCCAATCAGCGCACAGCCGTCCACCATCAACAATACCAGCAAATTCCTCGGCAGGGCGTCGGCCGGCTCCCACTCAACATCCCATACCAAGGCAACGCGGAGTTGGGGTTGCCGCACCACAACCCAGACGGCTTCCCACCTGCGGCAACACGAAGCCCGCAGGAGGGTGGTGGGTTTTACACCCATGTACCACCGGGACAAGACTCGACCTTCGCGCTGCACGCCGCAAGCCCAGTGACCCAGCAGGCGACGCAGATGATGCCATTCCCGGGTCAGGTGCCCTCCCCTCAAGCTGCGGCCGGCACTATCATGGCCCACGCAGCACCGCAACAAGCTGCGCCAGAGCAGCAACCGCAGCAACAGCAGCAGCAGAGGCAGCAGCAGCGGGCCCAGACTGCCCAGCAACAACAGCAGCAGCCACAACAGCACCAGCAGCAGGCGCAGCAGCAACAGGCGGCGGCCCCTCAGCAGTGGTATGACGCTGCGCAGTACCAGCCTCCTCTTGATGTGGCGGTACCGACTATCGGGACGATGCCGGCATACGGCATAGGTGGCAGCTTTGATCCATGGGGCGACGCTAAGATCGAGTTCGACGACCCGACTATGCAGCTGCCCAGCGCCCGTGTGGATAACATGTGAGGAGTTCACATGTGATCGGACCGCCCAAAAGGTCAGGAGATGGGTTGGTTGTGGATACCGCCCCCACGCGTTCTGTGGCCTAGGCCTCGATACCTGGGCCCAAGCTCGAGCTCGACCCCCGCACCATCGAAAGATACAAAAGCCGCCAAACTTGATACCTTTGGCATTTGCTTCTGCGCCTTGTCCTGTTGACAAAACAACGCATTCTGGAGATGCCCCGTGAGCGCGGCACGCGTGGCACGCGCATGCTGTCGACCTTGGCTATCGAGTGGAATGTCGTCGTCGTCTATGGAACATCGGCGTCGAATCAGTCGTGGTGTTGTGGCGTCATGGCGTCGTCGTCGTAGCCCTCTGGGCTGGGCTGGGTTTGTGAACTACGCCCATCGATTTTCGTGACCGCTAGCTCATCACGCTGGCCGTTACTCCCCACTTTCTCCCTCGGTGTCCCCCCCGCTTTTCTTTTTCTTTCCTCACCGAGTTAGTTTCTGTTCTGTGTATGATTAGTCATGTTTTTTTCTTTGTTTTCCCCACACCCTCCTTTTCATCCTAATGTCAGTGTCATGTTTCATGTTATGCCGTACTGTTATCATGTCTGGTATTCCTTGTTTTCGGGTTTGTCTTGCATCGGTTTATCGGTTCGGGGGCTTTCGTGATCGTTAACTGGTAATGATTAAGGTAGTTCGGGAAGTTGATGGGTTTCGGGGGGCACTGTCAGATAGGGTTACGGGTGGTCGATCGTTGGCGTACGGCGGGAGGTCGATGGGACGGACGTGGACGGCCAAAGGGAAAAGAGAGGAGGATGGGACAGGAACCCCAGCGGCCAATGGCATACAGGCAGGCAGGCAATCAGCGCCCATAAAAGCGGGATACCCGTTCTTCTTTCATTTTCTCCTGAACAAACAATCCAGACCAAAAAGTTGTTTCTTTTCTCTTTTTCCAGTCGTAATTTCTTAAGGATCGGATCTGGCGTGGATGATGTCGGTCGGTCCCATTTCCCATTGTCTCCTTGCTCCTCGTTCCACGGCTTCTCTCCAATCTTTTATACTCTTCCCTTCTGTCGTTTCTCCTAGGGTGGCCGAGCCCCGGCTTTCGAATCCTGTCGACTCTTCCTAGGCGTACTTCCTCGTCGTCTTCAAGGATCGTTGTCGTCGGGAGCTGGGCGACCCTGAGGAATAGGGGGGGTTGATTCCGTGGGAGGTTTGAATCCGTGGGGGGGTGCCAAAGTCACACACACGTTGTGCCTCGACAACCCCTCCACAGATCAGATATGATGCCAACGAACCGGACCCTGAACCGGCGTTCGGGTTGGGGGGTTGAGCGAGCCAAGCTGCCTCTCGCGCTGTATCGGTCGAGTGAGTACGAGGGGTTTTGGGGTCTTAGCCCTTCATGCTTTTCCTGCTTCTCATTTCCTTTGCTTTGGTTCTCGTTTGGGTGGTTGTTCTTGATTTCCACGTCAGGGTTGTTGGGTTAGTGGGGTGGTGTTTTGGGTATGATGGGTATGACAATCTCAGGGGTGAAAAGGGGTGAAGTTGATGATTGATGGTTGGACGTGCAACGACCTCTTTTTCCCTTAGCCTCCATTTCGTCGTGCTTTTTCTCCCGTTATCTTCCGTTGTCGTTGCTCTCTTTGCTTATTTCCCCTGACGAAACTTCCTTCCTCCTATTGACCATGAATAACGACTTTCCCTTCTCTTCTCGGTTGCCGATGTGGTGAGGGTATCTGGGATTTCGGCGGGCTGACGACCCCGAAGGGCTTGAAGGGCTGGAATAGCCGGTGGGCGTCTCCTTCTTCTTTTCGTCTTCCTCTCGGCGTATTTTAGGGGAGTATGGTGTTGCTGTACTTTTCTTGTTCACGGACGGGATGTCTGCTAAGAAGAGAAAAGAAAGAAGGTTGGGGAGGGGGCGAGACAAGTGTGTGAGGAGTGCGGGGTGGAGAGACTGAGGAAGAGACAGCAGACGTTTGGCTTGCCTTGTTTTCTGCTTTGCCATTCAGGGATGAGGCCTGCTGAGACTTGATTGGAATGGTGGTGGAGGTGGAGGAAGCAACTTCTTTCATGCGAGTCCTCCCAAGTGGAGTTCAGCAAACCCATCGTTCGGTATCCGATTGTGATAACCGAATCAGGAGCAAGCCCGTTATCCTCTCAAGAGGGGTTAGCAGCTGTTTTCCTTTGGTGTTTGGGGAGTGTGTATCGGTGTTGAGGCGCTCTTGAGGTCGTGGAGGCGGGTTTTGGTGGGGAAAATGACTCAGTCGGTGGGCGGCAGCACGTCTTTCGATTCTCATGTACCCATAGTTGATCGCCTTCGTTTCCTGGTTTGTTGGTGGTGGCTTTTGTCTAGCTTAATGATTAACGTCAAGTCTTGTCTTCTATTGCCGTGTCAAGTCGGTCCTATCTGTGAATGTATTAGGGGTAAGCAAGATCAAGGCCCAGAAGTCGTGCTTGCAAATAGACGTCCTAGCATTCATCCCATCAAAAACAACAAAGCCCCGCTGTTTGCTGTCGTCTTTTGACATATGGAAGAATGGTGTTCCGCTGAAAGGAGTTCCGTTAAGACAACTACACCCTCGTTTGCGGAAGAAGAGCGTGGAGAAAAGACGGCGGCTGGCAAAGGGGATGATAGCCAGAAGCCATGACTATTGTGCCCCCAAGCCGGTGGATACGCCCAAGGTCTCGTGTAATGACTGAAGTCTCATAGGTTGTACCGTGTTTGCCCGCTTCCGCGTTGCATATGCCGACACGTGGCGCAATAACCGGACGGAGGGAATTATCAAAGAAGGCAGCTGCCCGGCTTGGGTGCAGGCCGTTTTCAAGATGGTGGTCTGCGAAGTAAGGGTAGCAATTTGAAAAGAGAGAATGGGAAAGGGGGAATGCATCGCGGGTGGACGGATGTTTTGTTTGCTGAGCACCGGAGACACTGTCGGCGAAGCTGCAAGCCGCCCGTTTTGTTCTCACTCTGATGTACAACAGACAGCACTACCGCTTAGCGATTGGGCCGGACAAAACTCGGTCGGGTAAGTTACATTGCGGAGGCGAAGTGTGTCGAGATGGCTTGTTAGTGTAAGTGACCACAACCGTTGTACTGCTCGAACCAGCTCCGGGTAACCGTTTGTCCCCCCTGGTGAAACGATAAGTAACGCTCGGAGCCAAGGGTGTGCGTAATGAAAGAGATTCATGAGTAGCTTTGACGAGGTGAAGTAAAGATGGGGTCCCTCGGCCATCATTTTGCAAGAAGGCAGAAGAAGGGAGCGGGAAATGGCAAAAGCAACCTTCTAAGACCAAACGGGGAAGTCAGTGATTGGGAGGCGTACATAGATTATATGGCTGCTTTGCCCCAGCCGTACTTCGGCCACTCCGTGGCCGCAACGGCCGCTCGCCTATGCCGCATTGCTTGCTTGATGCGTTGCTCATCCGTCTCGTCTTTGTCTTGCCGTCCTGGGAGTCAGCTGGGAGGTGGTACTGGAGACGGCCGGGCCAATGGACGGGTACCAAGACACGACAGTCGTTAGGCGGTTAGACGAGCAGTGCGCGGGATCTACCATTGACAGCATTTCCGGCTCAATGGGCGAGCCGCCGACATTGATGCCGATGCAACTGCAGATCAAGAAAGTTCGTTTGAGACGGTGTCCGGTGCTCGGTTCCAGATTCCGGAGTTGGGCTCCCTTCTGGAAGAAAATTGGCGCGCGCTTGAAATGAAGTCAGGACCGTTGACAATCCCGGGTAATGGCGTAGTCGAGGTTGTGGCGTCCGTGTTTGTGTGGTGCCGCTGCGGGCGGTCTGCCGTGTCATCCAGCGAGTTCCTCATCGGCGTGCGAGTGAGACGAGTGAGCGTGAAGATGAGAGCGTAAGTGCCAGGCCCGGTGAGAGAGGGAGAAGAAGAGGTAAAGGAGGAAGTTCCGATATGACGCATGGTGATAGCCTGGTCTGTACTCCGCATGAGTAGCAGTCTGTTGTCCTTGACGGGTGCCTCGGGGACCGCTCTTCGAGAAGCCAAGGGGAGGAAGGCCGAGCGAGCTGGTTAAGAATGCAACCTCGTTTGAGTCTCGTACGCAACACTGCTGTGCATGGCGCGTAGTGCGGGAGGTGGCCTGGAGGTCTATCCACCTCCATTGGAGTAAAGGCAAAGTTCCCATCCAACGGAACAGCTCCCTCTCCACTCAAACCGCGCATCGATCAACGCCGAGACGTCATCACATGGTCGGCGGTCTTTTCGGCACATGTGTGCAGTCCTTCGCAGTCTTTTAAAGCTGATCAAAACGCTTGCTCGTCCTCGTCCAACTCCAAGATCAAAGCGCCTCGGGGACCAAACATGTTCCAAACGGGCCACCCACATGCCACCCACATGCCATTAGCGCCGGCTGGCAATGATTCCTTGACTCCGTGATTGGCGGAAATCGGTGGCCGTGTTGCAAGCGCTGCGGCGGTGATCTCGAGGAAGGCTGCTGGGGTGGGGAGCTGGGATAAGCTCTTGAGGTTTTTGGTGAATTTGTGCGCGGTGCCCCGCTGGAGCCCCGTTGCCCAGTGCTGGAAAGGGAAGGGGCAACCTCCAAAAGGTAGTTGTGAGGTCTGGTGTTTCCCAAAAGGAAGGTTTAAGAGACCGAATACGAAATCACTTTTGCTCTCTCTTCGCGGGGGGTTTCCGTTCTTTTAACTTTTTGCCATAACTTTGACCCTTTTACATTGGCCATGCCCCAACGCTTAGATGTTGTCATTGATCGTCGGATGAAAGCCACGAGCTCCCTTGCAACGTCCCTGGCACGGCCTGGAACAGGGGCCTGTGGCCCAGGCCACTGCACGCCCAGAGCTTGTCTCTTTTCGAAATCTTGGCATCGGATTCAACAACATCATTCGGCACTGATTGAAGGAACAAGCATTGTTCAATCGAAACCGATTTCTAAAAACGTCCCCAAAGACTCGGCCGACTGATACTCAACACACAAGACTGGACGGAGGCGCGATATCGGAGCTCTGCTGGTGGATTCAATAAACAACCGGGTCGGCCAGGAAACAACAAAATGCGCGCTACGGGTGTCGTCATCGCCGTGCTCGCCGGGCACGCCCTCGGGCACGGAGACCACAAGACCGGGTCGCACAAGCCACCGGTCGATGAGAACGCAAGCTGGATGCAAAAGCACATGGCCGGTATGATCTAGCGTCCTTGCATCGTGCGCCGTTTCGGACGGAGACGGAAAACAAAAACATGCGAGGGAAGAGGTTCGAGAGAGGAAAACGCAAAAGGGGCATATCGCTGACCCTTTCGTCCTTGATCCATTGGCTCGCCAACAGAAGAACACCACGCCGACGGCTTCGACGCAGCCTCCTTCTTTTCGCTCCACGACTTCAACGGCGACGGTAGCTGGGAGCGCGACGAGATCCTGCGCACCTACGGACTGATGGACGAGTCAAACAAGGACGTCCCTGGGGTACGCAAAGCCGAAATCGTGCGCGACATCATGGCGCTCTTTGACGCCAACCACGACGGTCTCATTAGCCGCGATGAGTTCGTGAAAGCTATCGATGTCCAGGGCAAAACCTTGCCTGACATGGGCACTGGGCCAGGGCATCATGGTGATGACGAGTACGAATATGAGATTCACCATTGGGAGAAGTGAGTAAATTGCCTATTATTAGGAAGGGGAGAAAGAAGGGAAAACGACACAGACATAAATGCTGATTGGCCCGTCCAGATACCACGATGAAAACACCAAGCTGGAGGACCTCACGCACCCCGAAGATATTGAACACTTCAAGAAGCACGAGCAGATGGAAGAGGAGGAAGAACGACTGGAGCAGCTCAACAAGCAGAGCATTATCGAGGCGAACATTCCTTCTAAATTCCGGCGTGAGTAAGGGGGCGCCAGGAGAGAGTGCCAAGGTGACGACACACAGACACATATTCAGATACACGCATGTGAACGCTATATACGTAATGATAATGATTCGACATACCCATGCCCATGCCCCGGCGGCGGCATACATAGCACAGACAACGACAGGCGAGATTTAAGGGGGTATGTATCAATCCCCGATATTAGCACGATCGACAATACGGACATCAAACACGCAATGCCACACACCCGGCGCGTACGTCTTGACCAGCTCGACATGTTCCACCAAAGCCTTGCTTCCCTGCTGCGCACTTTCTCGCTGCTCTCCAGCCCACGAATCAAATAACACTTGTAGCTCCCTCTTCCTCTTTTCGATGTCTGCCACCCCAACATTCTCGTGGAGATGTAGCCAACTCCCGGGCAGTGTCGTCGACGACAACCTCCCACCACTTGTATGACTAACAGTAGCCATTTCCCATGCATCATGCCATACAGGTTGGCTGGTGGGTAGAAAACCACAATTGACGTGGACAACCTCTATGGTGCCTCCAGGCGCATAACCGCCGTGATGATCCTGGCCACCAAGAAACGGGCGTATCCTCTCCAACGCACGCCGATTATCCTCAAGAAACACAATTATCTGCTCTGGCCCTGCCAGGATCGCGGCCATGTCCACTTCATCCCCTCCCCCAACCTCGGCTAATTCTTTCCTATCCCCATTGCTATCCTCCCCCTCACTTGGACTTGGACGATCCACTAGTGAAGGTGAAGAAGATGGAGGTGAAACAACCCGCACCGAAAACCCATTCGCCTCTGCACCGCGTCTCAGCCCTTCCACGCTCCACGCGTTGAGTTCCCAGCAAAGCACTCGCAGGCCGAGGGCCGCGTAGGAGAAGACGAAGTAGCCGATGCCGGCGTAGAGGTCGATGGCGTATTTGCCGCGGAGGGCAGTGTTGGTGGCGGCGGCGGCGGTGGTTTTAGTAGTAGTGGCGGTGTTCTGATGGAAGGACAGGAGTCGGGCTTTTTCTTTGATGTTACCCCGGCTGAACATGGTGTGGAGGGGGGTCCAGGTTTGGATGAGGCCGTTTTGTTTGGCGGAGACCCAGAGGGTGGCGTTGAAGTTGGGGTCGGAGGGGTGGGTTGTTGTTGTTGATGATGACGGTGAAGATGTGGTAAGGGGGCCGAAGGAGCCGTAGAGGGGGTGGAGGTTGGTTGGGGACCGAAGAAGGTTTTCCGTTTCTTGGTGTTGTTGGTTTGCGATTAATTCATTGTTGTCGTCATTGCTGGTACCGAAGGTGTTGTTATGCAAGGGGATACCCTCGTTCACTGCTAGGTGGGTTAATGGCGGTTTCGGAGCGGGCGGTGATATCCCACGGAGGATGGCCGTCCAAAGCTCGTCTTTCTGAGCGGACGTGGCTGTCGACAATAGAGTGGGCCATGGGTGGTTGCTGAAACTACCGCTGGGTAGTAGGACCATGGGCTCGTAGACAACCCAGCGTTTTGGGGCACCAGAGAGGAGGGTTTGTTTTATGTCATTGGCGTCATTGGTAGTGGTGCTGGTGACAAGGTCGATGAGGTCGGTTGGGAGGAAGTCTAGCCATGAGCTGACGGCGGCCTGGACGGGGTTCTGTTTTGGTTTTGGAGGCCGGCCCATGATTCTTTCAGGACGCTTTGCGAAAAGAAAAGGTTATAAGTGACAGTGATTAAAACATTTATATGGTAAGATCTTGCGGGTAGTGATGTGAGATCTAAATAGTGGGGCATTCTATGCGAAAAGGTGAACGACATCTCATTTTATTAAGAACTCACTTTCAAGTTGAGACTGTGCGGCAGACGCACGTTTATAAGGCCGTTCTCGGATGGACCTCCTCATTCACAAGCCCGGTTAGCTCAGCTGGTTAGAGCGTCGTACTAATACCGGTCCCACCCGTATATGGTATGCGAAGGTCAACAGTTCAATCCTGTTACTGGGCATTGCGATATCTTTTGGCTGGTTTCCATTCACATTTTTTTCGATTACCAAACTCCTTGTCTCTTCCCAACACTGATATTGGAGTGGTAATCTTCTTTTGTCAACTCATCTTTTCGGCTATTGCTGTGAAAAAACCTACCGAGCGTCCCGTCTGAAGGAGGTCCACTTGTTAGTGACTCCTGCCATTATGGATGCCTCAACCCGCCCACAGCATCACCCTTTCCTTCCATCCTGCCTTCCCGACCTAAAAACATCCACCTACAATTTCATAAATCGGTGCTGAGCAGTTCCTTCCGATCGCCCCCCACCGAAAAATGCTTGACCTTCCGGATGGCGCATTGGGGGGGCCGTGGGCGTCAATAGAGTACACCACGAAATCTCGGCCCCCGGGTTCGAACCCAGGGGTATCACCCAAAACAAAACTCATGGGGTTTTCGTAGCCGCCCATCATGCCCCTTGATTGGGGAGATGAGTGGGTGGTGAGATTTTTGACGAGTTCTTTTTCTGACTCTTTTTCTTCGTCACATAATCGTCATACCTACTCAGATTTACCGCACCATGTCATCTTAACGCTGGCGTTTCGTTTTTGGAAGAACATGGCATTGGGTACTATAACCAACATTGTTCCGAGCACCCTCTATAAACATAGTGACAGTGCCCTCGCTCTCGGGATGAGTTTGGCTGTCTCATTTTCTCCTCATAGAGTTTTCGGTCTTGAGTTGGCCGTTTGGGGTAATTATTGACGAGCGCATTGATACCGGGTGGAAAGTTCGGGAAGGGGGCCAACAGCCGCCAGGTGGCCCATTCGAGAGAGAGTCGCTGGGGACCTTTTTGTCTGTTGGTAGTGATCACGTTCCAGTTGTTTGCCGTTGGTGATATCTTCGTATGACGAAGCTGGTATGTTGCGGTATTCTTGAGGCAACTGGTGGCATGGGCTGAATGCGGCTCCGTTTTTAGAAAGTATAGGTCTTAGACGGCCAGATATTTTATGATTGTCACCACCAGAACAAATCGCATACATGAAATAGGCCCCAAGTCGCAATATTGCTGGGTTCAAGTAGGAGTTCCATGAGAAACTTTGTGATTAACAGTGGTTTCAAGTTGGGTCGGTGGCGGGCGCATTGGGCGTCTGTTAGGGGCATGTACCCAAACTCGGACGCTATAGACTACATTACTGTTGGCAATTAGCAACCGAAGTTCGGAACCGTCAATATGCGTCAAGACAAAGAGAAAATGATCGGGCTTCGAGGAAACCCCGGGCGGCCCGGTAAGTTATTGGTGTGGTGTCAAAGAACGCATCCCGGCCTGTGGAATTCGCGAGTTGCAGGACGGGCAACTAAAATTTAACTGGGGTGCTTCGCTCCTGCTTCCACAACCACGTATCATCCGTCACCCGCCAACGTCCATCCCACGACATATGATCCGAAACTTCCTGTTTCTCACGAAACGGGTCAAGTTTGCCCAGTACTGGCGATCCACCATGTCGACCAGCACATTCGTAACCAAAGGCGTGCGCGTGGCTATTGAGGGCTGTGTATGCAATTATGACCTTTTTTGCTCCTTTGTCCTATCACAGCTCAGACCCTAACCCGCTAACTCGAGCTTAGGGCCACGGCACCCTCAACGCCATCTACGCCGGTGTCAAGAAATCGTGCGAGGAACGCGGTTGGGATGGCGTCGATTTGCTCATCATCGGCGGTGACTTTCAGGCCGTCCGCAATGCCGCCGACCTAAACGCCATGGCTGTACCCGCCAAGTACCGCGAGCTGGGAGACTTTCACGAGTACTATAAAGGTACCCGCAAGGCTCCCTATCTGACTATTTTCATCGCCGGGAACCATGAGGCATCTTCCCATCTCTGGGAGCTGTACTACGGTGGCTGGGTGGCACCTAATATTTACTATATGGGCGCCGCCAACGTTCTTCGTTTGGGACCCCTGCGGATAATGGGTATGAGTGGTATCTGGAAGGGATTCGACTACCGCAAGCCACACCACGAGCGGCTGCCCTTCAACGCCGAGGACGTGAGGAGCTTTTACCATGTGCGCGAGATCGACGTGCGCAAGCTACTGCAGCTGCGTACTCAGGTGGACGTTGGCCTCAGCCACGACTGGCCGCGGGCCATTGAAAAGCACGGAAACAGCCAGCGCCTGTTCAAGATGAAGCCTGATTTTGAGCGGGAATCGTACGACGGGTCGCTGGGGAACCCGGCTGCCGAATACGTGCTTAACAGACTGAGGCCGCCTTATTGGTTCTCTGCCCACTTGCACTGCAAATTTGCCGCCATCAAGGAGTTTCCGCCGGCGCAGGCCGGGCCGAGCAAGGTTCCTGAGTCGGAGCCTGAGCCCGAATCTGAACCAGCGCCGGTCCCCCCGCTAGAAGTTGCCTTCAACCCGGATGAAATAGACCTTGACGTCGACGATGGAGACGACTACCCGGTGGCCACAGCCAAAGCAGCAGCCACCACCGGAACTGGCCCAGAAACTCAGCAAACTAGCGAGCCCACCGCCACTACAACCCCCGAAACCGGACCTGCTGCTGCAACTGCCGAGACAGGAACTGACGATACCGAAGCCCTCCGTGCTCAGCTCCCCGAAGCCTTCGCCCGGCGTGCCGTCACGACCACAACCCACCCCCGCACCGTCCCCGGCCAGCCCGTTCCCGAGACTATCACTAACACGACAACCCGCTTCCTCGCCCTTGACAAGTGCCTTCCCGGCCGCAAATTCCTCCAAGTCATGGAAATTTCCCCTTATGAGGCAGGCCAGGCCCCCCCCCAGTCCCCATCTCCGTCCAAGTCAGCATCCAAATCCAAATCCCGCTCTCGCTCTCGCTCTCGCTCTCCCAACCATCGTCTCCAACTCCAATACGACCCCGAATGGCTCTCCATCATCCGTGCCTTCCACCCCCTCATCACCATCGGTGACCGCACCGCCACCGTCCCCCCGGACGAAGGCGAAGCCGCGTACGCGCCCCTCATCGCCGAACACCGCGCCTGGGTTAACGAGCACATCGTTGATGCCGGCCGTTTGGAAGTCCCCGAGAATTTCGAGACGACCGCGCCCCCGCATCGGCCCGAGGTGGATCAGGAAGTCACCCAGGATTTGCCGCGGGAGTGGACGAATCCGCAGACGTCAACATTTTGTGAGTTGTTGGGGGTTGAGAATTTGTGGGATGCGAGTGAGGAGGAAAGGAAGGTGAGGCAGGAGTTGGGGCCGGCGCCCGTGGAGTCTCGTGGGGGTGGATATGGAGGAGGTAGGGGAGGGAGAGGAGGACGAGGTCGGGGGAGAGGTGGACGGGGTGGTGGGAGAGGGTGGGGAGGACGTGGTAGAGGGGGGCGTGGGAGATAGTCAACAGTCTGTGCATGTTAAGAACTACCCGCGAAGAGAGCTTCCGTGGCGACCGGAGCCAAAGGAAAAGATATTGTCAATGGAGAAATTATCATGAAGTGGGGGAGATATGATTACCACACTCTTCGATTAAGAACATGAAAATGACGTTTAGATCTTATCATGATGGACTAATCTCCTTCCTACAAACTACAAACAACACGAAAACAGTTGTAACGTGCGTGTGGAATATCTCCTCACTAATAAAGCTTAGACTCCACAGAAAGAGTTTCTGAGCCAAGCAGATCGTGGAGGATAATGTTTCAGTCTTCCATCTATTTTAGACGTCGTGCTCATGGGGGAGAAAAGAGCTAGACGCATATGCTAAGATGGGGGTCTGGGATAGGGGGAAAACGAAAACAATATCGCGGCGGGTAGACACGAGAGTGCAATGTCTGAGAGCTTGAGTTATCGGTAAGTTGTCAGTACCGAGTCAAATTTGCCCACGGAAGAAAAGAACTTCCTAAAAGGACGTGAGTAAATCATGCTTATTAGAACGCCTGCATGCCTATGCCCATGTCAAGTCGCGCCTTGTCATGATCCTTTGCGTGTCGTCCGCCCATGACCATACCATACCCATACCGTAAACGCCAGCGCAAAAAGCAGATTATCCCAAGGCAAACCGATCCTCTATGAATCGGGCCCAACTTCTGGGAGCCGGGCTTCAGCTCATGGCCCGTTGCTCCATCTCCTAACGTCCGTACCGCTCTCTCTAGCTCTCTGGCTCACACCGTCGTCCTCACCGCAGCTGTGGGTCCAAGTTCAGATAGTTGGCCGCCATCAACAATTCGAGGCACATCTCAACGGGGATCTCCATGTCCGGGACGTCCTCCTTTTCGCGGTTGCGGTACCAGTAGTTGAAGTAGTCCACGACTTTTTCGAGAATATGAGCACTGTTGATCGGGGAAAGAGGTGAGAAAAAATGGATACCAGGTTAGCAGAACAGTGCTATGGTAACTAGGCAGGGTTCTGACTGCCTCGCTCGCTTCGGGATCATAGAAGATAAAAATTGAATGGGGTTATCAGATCAAGTGTAGACGACACTCATGCAGTCCAATCTTCGGTTCCTTGAACGGTCCTCGTAGGAGGAACCCCGTCAGGGAAACGAGAGGTCTGTCGGTAATAACACAGTAATTGTGTTGTCATCATTGAAAAGCGAAGAAGGGAAAAAAATGAAGCAAGGAAAGAAATCGGGTAACGGCCGAGACGGGGAAGGCGACCAACCTGATTTCTGGGAAATTGCACCGGCCTGTTTGCGCCTCGACGAACGGGCCCCGGAGCATGCCTTTGATGGTTGGGCTGATCAGAGCCGCCTCGCGAAGGAGCACAAACTCGTAGCCGTCGCTCGAAACGAGCGTGATGTACTTGCTTTCCGCCATGATGTGGCGTTGGGTTGGGTGTTGGTGTGGTTGTGATGGAGTACGGCGTCGGGGGTGACGATAATGGAAGAGGAAGCTTCACTTGAAAAATCTCTGCTTGGCTGCCTGTCGGTTCCACCGAGAGGGCCAATCCGAGATAGCGGGGGAGGACTCCGGATTTATAAAGTCCGAGTTGCGGAATTACGGAAAATGGGGTTCGTTCACCAGGTTCTCAGGTCTCCTTCGGTGATGTCGGTGTTGGGACATGGAAGGAAAGCAGGGAGAGGATGAAAGAAACTGTGCGTCAGGTTCTTGGAAGCCGGAGCTCGCAAACCCGCCAAACAGGTTGGCGCAAAATGAGCGAAAATGAATGCCCCGGTTTTCAAGGGAGCAACGCCCTGAAAGTGCACTAGCCACTATAAACAAGGCAGCTGAAAACTCCACAGCGGGGTCTCGGTGGCAGTGACCGACGCGTGTAGGGCTGGCGCCTCGCAGTCAAGCCACTGTTGGGCCTTGGAGAAAAAGACCCTGAAAAACACAACCAAATATGTGAAAAATATGTAACAAAACTGAGGGATAAATCGGTCCTGCGATCTAGATGAAGTAATGTAATGAACAACCAACATCTGTCCGGAACCCCGCGTCGAACAAACAAAAAGAGCCCGGCTGCACTTGCCTTGGGAACTCGGCTGGGTTCCAGATTGCCTCCTGCAAGTGGGGCCCTGCCAATTTAAGCCCCGCGGTTGTGTCATCAATCGATCGGAGGAGCGGTTGCCCAGTCGACCGTTTACTTCCCGCAATCTGCTGCTGTTCGTTCCCCATCACCCACACCAGCGATCCCTTGTTGACCAACGCATCACTCGCAGAAAAAAAAGGCCACACCTCGACTCAACAAACTTGCATCACATTTTTTCTTGCATCACTGCGCATCGGAATTGATTCGAAAATCGAGAACCACGACACACCATCCCGGTCGGGGCGGGGCAGAACGAGCAACGACAGCATTTGCATTACAGCCGATTTCCGACATTTCCCTTTTTCTTTTCCTCCGTCTTTGACTTGACAAGGCAGCGCCTCCACTCTTCACTCCAATCATAAGGGAAAAGGGAAAGACAAAACAAACCCGAACAAATAATACAGCCGACCTACAAAGCGTCGGCGACAATAACAATACGGGATCACACGGCCATGGCGTCGTACCAATACCGTAACTCGACCTACCTGCACGAAAGAAGCGATAGCAACGCCTCAAGGCGGCCCGAGTCGCAGCGCCGGGACGCGCGCGGCACCCGATCCAGCGACGGCACTGTCAGTACGATGATGAGCACTACTAGCTCGACAGGCCGCGAATCAGCAGGAACCGCTATGACCGAAGGGCCAGCTTATTCCAAGAAAATTGTTGTGGTGGGCGATGGCGGCTGTGGCAAGACTTGCCTGCTCATCAGCTACAGCCAGGGGTATTTTCCAGAGGTATGTCTCTGATCTTGTCGCTGGTCTGGCGTTACGCATCAAGCCTCGTCCGGACACAATGACTAACGATTGTTGCTTCTTAGAAATACGTCCCAACCGTCTTCGAAAATTACATCACCTACCCAACACACCCCCCGACCGGTAAGACCGTGGAGCTGGCGCTCTGGGATACTGCCGGCCAAGAGGAGTACGACCGCCTGCGTCCGCTCTCGTACCCCGAAACCGACCTGATCTTTGTCTGCTTCGCCATCGACTGCCCGAACTCGCTGGAAAATGTCATGGATAAGGTACGTCGTCACATACTCAACCCTCACACAAAGCGGTGACCAAGAACTAACCAATCACAATCATAGTGGTACCCCGAAGTTCTGCACTTCTGCCCCTACACCCCGCTTATCCTCGTCGGCCTCAAGTCCGACTTACGCCACAAGAAGACATGTATCGAGATGCTCAAGACGCAGGGCCTCACTCCCGTCACAACCGACCAGGGCCTCGCCGTCGCTAAGAAGATGGGCGCCCAGTACATGGAGTGCAGCAGCAAGGAGATGAAGGGTGTTGAGGAGATCTTTGAACGCGCCATCCTGACCGTCGTGGCCAATGACCGGAAGGTGCTGGAGGCGGAGGCAGCTGCTTCAGCTACGTCGCCCGGTCATGGAGGAGGATTAGGGAGTGGTAGCGGTGGTGGGCTTGGCATTGGGCGTCGGGGCAGTTCTCATCTGAGCAGTTTCCATGGGGGTGGAAGCGGGAGTAAGAGTGGGATAACGTTTGGGAGTGATGGCGTGCAAATTCCGGTTGTTAAGAAAAAGAAGAGAAAGTGTGCGCTGGTCTAAGGGTGGGTGTGGAAGGGAAGGGTTTGGTGGGGAGAGGAGAAGAGGAGGGCCGTTGTTGATGTTGTTGTCGTCGTTGTTGTCGTCGTTGTTGTCGGAGGATGCCGAAAGGAGGTGGTGACCGACTCCTAGGAGAGGAGTATTGACGACTCTTACTGTCCAACTGCATACATGCATCATGATGCCGACACGACAGGCGCAGTTTGCAATTCTTGATTTCCCTTTATCTTTTCTACTTCCCCCCCACCCCAACTCCCCTTTTGGCCCCCTTTTTTTACTCTCTTATCTCTCTCTCAGCCAACCATCATGTTTTCTGTTTCCCTTAGTTATCAGATGCTGTTTTTCCCCTTTCACGTCACACACGACCTTTACCCGACGGCACTGGCGAGGGCATACAAAGCGGGCGACTGACATTATTTTGAGGGATTTTGCTATTACTACTCTTTGTTCACTTTTTATGTCATCGTCCGCTTCTACACTTCCCTTCTACTACGACTTATTGACGCAGAAGGTTGATAGGTTGATTGATGGACGAATGATTTGGATGTTGGTGTGGTGGAGGTGGTGTGAGCGAGGGATGTTGCGTGGTTTGGGCGATGCTATGCTATGCTATGCTATGGATGGATAACACGGGAAACAAGACAACACACAATGTATTGCTGGAGTATACAACATTCTCTTCTTGAAACTTTGTTATAGGGTTTTAGAAGGGATGTGATACCCATGAGGAATGTATGGATGGTGGGGGGTGGGGGCTAGGAGTTGTCATCGTCAGGTTGTTGTTGTTGTGGCGTGACGAATGACTTCCCCCCTCCCCCCTACCTTTTCTTTTTGTTGATTACGGATAGGGATAGGGAATACAAGAAACAAAGAATCTTCAAACTTGTGAACCGTAAATAGTGCTACAACGTGACGTGAAACGTGATGTCTTAATCTTCCGGATCTGTGGTTGTATTTTGTCGTTGTTGTTGGGTATCACTCATCCCCTCAGCTAGACAGGTTTGCTCTCTGCCTAACCGTCTCCTGTCGTAACATCTAGTTCCCACCAGCTGCCCCCTATCCACCCGCACCTTCATTCACTCCCTTCCCGTTTCACCTGATCCCCCTCATGCTGGTCCCTTTCCCCGTGATCCTCCTCTGTCTGCCCCTCGGTCTCCTCCTGTGGCTCATCCTTGGCCATGACGTTCTCGAACTGTGACCATAGTGCTTCTACCGATGAGAACTCGTTGCCCACCTGTAAACGTGTGCATGTACACAGACAGATATGGTTAGTATGAAGACATCAAACGCCAAACTTGTCTCACAAATGGTGCTATTATTATGGTTTCACAGCCTTGCGGATACATGTACATACCGCAATGACGGCCTCGAGTGACCGGTTGAGTTTGTTGATGTTGGCGAGCACGTGCTCGAAGTTCTGGAAAAGTGGCGTTTTCGTTCCGTCAGCCAATTAATCTATTTGATACGAGAGTAGTTTTGCTTTTTGTTTCGGGTCAAGTCTTTTTTTGTTTTTTGTTTTCGTTGGGCTTCCCCGCCTCCGTTTTGTTTTGTTTCGTTTCTCGTGCTTATTGCATACGTGCATGCAGATGAAGGCGGGCGGGCCAAGAGAGAAAGAAGTGTGTGTGAGATGGACGGGCTGGGTTGAGTGATGAACGGACCATGGCGATTTCCCCCATTAATTCCTCCCTTTGCTGCTCGAAATACGTCTTTTCCCTTGTCCCCGCTGTTGAGGTTGAGCGTTGGTGTTGTTGAGATGCCATATTGGTTCTTAAGATTTTAAACGAGCCGGTATTATGGAAGTTGAGGGATTCGAAGGGTGGTGCTGTTTAATTCATCCATGAGAAGTCGTGTTGGAGACGCGGGACACAATGCGGGACGGGTTCCACAACGTGTAAAGTGAACCCTAACCCTTAATGTTGCTGTAGCAACCCCTTGAACTCGACATCTTTAGTTTCTTTCCCGTCCGTCGGGACCAAAGAACTGTGGTGAACGTTCCTTGAATATTTGGAACAGAGAAAGAGTTAAGCCCAGACCCAATCGCATTCTCCTGGACCTGCAGCCGATGCAATGACGCAGATAAGCGAGCACAACGTTTACCCTATCTTGTTCATCCCTCCGTACCTGCTCAAGATGCAGTGACCGAAAGGCCGTAAGATGATGCTGTGCAACATTTGAAAGACAAGAGCAGGTGACGCAAAGCTCAAGTAAATTAGTTCTACCATGCTGAGCCGGTAGCCATATCCAGGGACCAGGGGTTCGGCGACTCGCTCCTGTTGTTCGGACTCCGTGCCTCTTCACTCAACGGCCCACAGACATGGAGATCTTTTCCCCTGGCCCTTGATTCTAATATGATAACAGCAGACAAATTTGATAAATATGAGAAGAATATGCTCCGTTGCCAGCCACTGACGAGAATGCTTGAAACATGGGCGGTAGGACCGAAACCACTACCACCTTTAGGGCATCTACAGCGATTGCCCCTCTTTCAGAAACCCTTTGTGGATATCCCCATATTGTATGCCCATCTGAGGCACTCCCAAGCCCCAGGTGTGCCAGAAACACAAGCGTATTCGGCCGGCCGCGTATCCTAACCATAGTCTGCATGCAGCATATCCTCGAGGCAATCAACCCCCATTTCGCGAGGCCCATATCTCCCATAACGCAGGATATGAGAACTCGGAAGTCTTCCCTCCCCACCACGCCCCAGGTCAGGCGCCGTCTATGGATGCTCTCGCACACAGCATGTACATACATCGTAACTTAGATGTCAAAGCGCTCGATTCAGCCTCATCATGTCTCTAGATTGATCGTCTTCCCAAATCTTGCGTATAGCTCCACCTTTAGCTGTGTCATTTCTTCCTGAATCGTGCCCTTCTTTTCCTCGAGCTCCTCAATCTCTTCTTCTAACTTCGTCGTCGATTTTCCGAGCAATTCCTGCGCCTGTTCGAGGGGGAGGTGAAAGAACGAGTCGCCGATCTTGTATCTGTTCTTGGGTTTAGTATGGTATGTTTGTTGCTTGATATGGGGTTCCGTGCTGGGCTGGGTCCTTACGGTACGGTCTCGTCCTCGTCGGCGAGCTCGAGCTCCGTTGTAATGTCGTCTAATTCTTCCTTCTCTTTCTGCGAACGGGAATAGTTAGCAGTGCGCCGGACCTCTACGTATTGGTGTGTTCCCGTACATTTTTTGTCTTGAGTTCGTCCTCTATTAACAACTCCCGTTGGTGCAGGCGGCTGAATTTGTTGATCTTGTCCTGGTCCTCGCGGCGCACCTCGACCTCGTCGCCCATCGCATCCTCCTCCTCCTTGGTTAACTACAGAGGGTAGTGTTAGTTATGCGTGATCGGAGTGCCAGAAAAGTGGTGTGAGAAGGAAACCCGACACGTACCATCCGTCTGCTCATCATCTTGACGGACTGTTTGAGGCCGGACGAAATATTGGCGGTTATGTCTGCTGAATTCGTAAAATGAAGCTCGCTACTTGGGCATCTTGTGACAGAGCTCCGCTCGTTTGGCGGGGCAGGTTTCCACAGTCCCACAGCTCCGACCCTAACCCTGGGAGCTCAAGAGCTGAGGGTGGGGGTGATGAAAGGCCGCGATTACAATTGGCCGTTTCCATCTCAAAGCTTGCTCTCAAGTCAACAAACCCCAGAGCCAGTGCATTCTAGACGAGATATGACCGCTCTTCAAACAACATCACCCCTTGAATCGTGATTTCACACTCTGTTAATTCAATTATACTGTGTCTTTACCGTTGTCAATCAGAATGCCTGGACAGAAGCTGTATCCCCGCGCGACGGTCAAGAAGATCGTCAAAGCTCACTCGAATTGCAACGTGAGCAAAAACGCGGATGTGCTGGTATAGTTAACCCAACTCCGACGCGTTGCTCTGAGATCGCGTCTGACAGAGATTGAATAGATGTTCCTCGACTATATGCTTTTTATGCAAACGTAAGGAGATACTTGAGAAAAAGACGGCGAAACGCGTCCGCTGATGTTGGCCTAGTCTCATGAAAGAAGCAACGATCGAGGCTAAACAGGGCGGAGAACGAGGTATCACCGCTCGGAGTGTGAAAAAGGTCACAGCGGTAAGCACTGATATCTTTCGAGATACTTAGTGGATGACAACTCATATGGTGTTTTACAGGACTCGCTCGCCAAATTCAGGGGATGAGAGATTCCAAATGAACGGCGAAAGAGATGGATATTCCGGCTGAAGCGAGCCACGCGCCAAATGCCGAGCCAGGTTGATCGAGACCACAGTTGGGTCGACGACCTTGGGCATTTGCTGCTGCACGCGGGGGCCAGTGCATGCAGTTCCGCGGCTCAAGGTGGGGACCAATCGAGGCCAACCAGCATGGGCCAGAGGCACGCGACACGACGACGATGCTGAGGCGTGGGGAGGGGCATCGAGGGGCATCGAGGGGCCTGATAGAGCGTTGATGCAAACAAACAAAAAGATATGAACTAGGGTTAGGCGGAATGTAGAATGAAAGCAACGCGCCCGGTGGAGGCTGAGTGTAATAGTCCTCCCTGCTGAGCTGACCTGCATCGTTTGCAGTGAATTTGAGCCCTTCAAGATGTTGTTCTAGTTGATTCTGTGCCTTTCTGCCTGGGCTTCGAACGGGCACCTGTCTCCCTTGGCGTTGCGGCCAATCGTGGGGCAGCGCGGCTCGAGTGGCCCGTGTTAATGACCGCAGCAGCAGCGCACAGCAACCCAAAGTAACCACTCCAGGCACCTCAAAAATTTCCAGAACCAATCTTCTCACAAACCCAACCGTTCGCAAATTCCAACCACACAGACATTAAATTTCCCCTCAAACCAGGCAATCCATTTTCGTTGCCAACGATTTCCCGTATTTTCGCCTCCACAACTCCCGCATCCTCTTGAGCGAGCCGACATTTCCTTGGGCGTTCGAAGCAAATAGCTACCTCGACCTTCAAGCCTCGATTTCGACCATCACGAAATCCACCTTAGCTCGCCACATCACCATGGCGGCTTCAGATGTTCAGAACTCCCCCGTCCCTACCGAGGCTAAGCTGGCTCGAAGGAAGAAGACGAAGGCGGACCGCACCGAGTCCCCCGCCCCCGCTGTTTCGACCACCGGTTCGGTTGCTGCGGGTGACGCCCAGGACGAGTCGGACAATGCCTACATCCGTGAGCTGCAGAAGTACGTTCGCCATAGACAATTTTTGTGCGCTTAGTAATTCTAACCGACCTCATAGGAGCATTCGTAATGTTACCAAGAAGATCGTAAGTTTCATTAACCCTAGCAATCGTCTCTCTCTCTCTTTCTCTGCCGATCATTACTAACCGCGTCCTGAAATAGACCAACACTGCCAAGATTGATGCCATCATCGCTGAAAACAGCAACAGGTCGCTCGACGACCTCGTCGCCTCCAAGGTGATCAACGCCGACCAGAAGGCCGCCCATCTCAAGAAGCCCGCTTTGCAGGCCCAACTGTTCCAGCTCGAGGAGCAGCTGTCTCAACACAAGAAGATCGATCAGGACTTCCGCACTAAGCTCGCCGAGCAGGAGAAGGCCCTGACGGAGAAGTTTGAGAAGGAGAAGGCCGACCTTGTTGCCGAGCTCGCCGACAAGTCCGATGCGACTGCCAACACTTCCCTCCACAGCAACCTTCTCATTCTCTCGCAGTTCCTCCGCCTTGCCGCGGCCCGCCGCGCGGAGGATGCCGACCCCTCGTCCGACGAGAACCTCGCGCTCGAGGGCGTCCTGCTGCAGATCTATTCTGGTGACGACAACGCTGTGTCTATCATGACGAAGCTGGTTGAAGGCGTGGACGAGCAGACCCGCAACACCGCTGGCGAGACCCTCCAGACGACCTGTAAGCCAACACCGCGTTCCCGGAAACGCCGTTGTATGCAAATGTACGAGACGTACTAACTTTTCCCAGTTGCCCAGGTTAAGCAAGCTGCCACTGCCTACGCTGCTTCGTTTGCCCAGACCGAGACAGTCACGCAACCCACCGAGACCGAGACTACCACCGAGCCTAAGGCGGAGACCCAGACCGACCCGACTGTCGCTAATGCCGGACTGACCGAGGTTGACGAAGGCACCGCTACCGCTCTGACCAACGGCCACAGCGATGAGGCCACGGCCAACGCCGCCCCCAACAACGCTGACGTCGCCGACGAGGCTGCCAACGCCGCGGGTGAGAGTCAATGGGATACCGGCAACGACCTGTCGGCCTCGCAGGAGTGGGTTGACGTCAAGGTCCCGCGCGAGTTGAGCGAGCTCGAGAGCAACCCGGCCGCCGCCACTTCAGCGGCTCCTTCGCAGTCCTGGGCTGATGATCACCCCGAGACGGAGGCTTCCCCGGCTGCGCCAACCGCGCCCGCGGACGATGGCTTCCAGTCAGTGCAGGGTCGCAACCGCGGCCATCGTGAAGGTGGCTACCGCGGTCGTGGAGGTTACCGTGGCCGTGGCGGCTTCCGTGGTGAGGGCCGTGGCCGTGGTCGTGGCGGTCCGCGCGGCGGTTATGCCCCTCGTGGCCGTGGTGGCCCGCGTGGTGGTGGCGAGGAGCACCAGCACTAAAGTCACCCGCTTCACCGCTTCACCGATCCACCATCCGTTCGCCATCCGTGCACTATCCATCCATCCTTCCATACATTCACTCTCTTTACCGTTCCCTTCAGGATTTGACACGGGCGCATGCATGGACTACGGGAACACAAAAGGAAGGCGTTTTTTTTCTCGCTTGATCTTGGTTCTCTGATCTGGTTTGTTGGTAGGGAAAGGGATACAGGCGGGGCAGGGCAGGGCAGGTGGGAGGTTCGGTCATCATTACACTCATCATTGTCGGGCGTTTTCGAAAAAAAGCGCAATGATTTTTTTTCTTCCTTGCACATGACATTTTGCGTCGCCGTCGTTTTGCTTTCGGGAGAGCGCCGCGCAACAGGATCGGGGGACGGCAGGTGGAAAGGTGGCTTTTCTCAAAAAAAGCAATGATTCTATGCGTGTACATTACTAGGTGGGATGGGGTATGGGGTATGGGGCGTACATTCTGGGCTCTTTCTTTCGTAACAGAGAGGCGGGGTATCGGTTGGCCATATTCCTGTGGAGATAAAGGGCGCCATGGAAGGGGTGGCGGTAATAACTCATGGTCCGAGGGCCTTACGGAACTGTGCGGGCCTCGATGGATTGGTCTGAATCAAACTCACGGGAGGAGGGGTTTGGGTGACTGGTTTGGGTTGGCGTTGGTGATGCGGGAGCCGGAGGGTCCTGCGAGAGAGTCTGGGCTATGATCAAATACTTGATCTCTACAACCTTCTGTTGGGTGGTATGTAAAGTAACTAGGGAGCCAAATTGATCAAATTAGGCCTATCTGCTGTGGTCAACGTGTGGTGGTGTGTTGGACTGTAAAATCACGGGAGCAACACAACTTCTCGATGGTGTTCTGAAAAGGGGGTCGCAGGTCTAATAGTTGACCAATTTGCCAAAAGATTTCTCCTTCCAATGGTTTTAGAATAATGGCACCAAACCTGAAATATTTACCCCCTCACCCCGTCAATAATGCCAAAGCACTCCAATCTAAGGACAAGCAACCCAGCACCCAACACCGAACCCACAAACCTATCCTTTTCCCGTCTCCTCAAGACCAGTGATCAACATCCACACAACCCCCCTCAAAACAACCTAAACAAACCCCCCAAACGCCGTCCCCAACACCTTCACCTTCACCTCCCCCGCATCATCCCCTCCTCCTCCTCTACTACCACCCCCCTCCACCCCAACCAACTTCACCCCTTCCCTCCTTAACAAACTCCTCTTCTCAGCCAACGTAATCCCCTCCCCATCCCGCCGCGCAATCTTCCCCTTAAACCCACCCAGCCCACCACCTGTTGCCACGACACGGTGGCTTTTTTTCCCCCCATCAAGCGTTAGCCGCCACCCTCATGAATCCTAAACAGCTGGGCACCGGGG